TGATTATCACACCCATATCACATGATTATCACACTCATATCACATGATTACACCAAAATTTTAACTTATCAACCAAAACGATAACCCAAGTGATGTATAATGATGATTATCACATGATTATCACACTCATATCACATGATTACACCAAAATTTTAACTTATCAACCAAAACGATAACCCAAGTGATGTATAACAATGATTATCACATGATTATCATACTCATATCACATGATTACACCAAAAATTTAACTTATCAACCAAAACGATAATCCAAGTGATGTATAACGGTGATTATCACACCCCTATCACATGATTATCACACCCATATCACATGATTATCACACCCATATCACATGATTATCACATGATTAGGGTTGCTTGTTGCATGCAATGGCTTCTCGATTAGGGTTCTTGGTCGATTACGATTGTGTGTTCTTGGTTGGTCACCGTCGATCAACACCGTCGCCGTCCGTAGTTCTTGTGATTTGAAGTTATGATTGTAATCGTAACCGTTTTGTAGATGATAATGATAAGTTTAAAAGATTTTGATTGTGTTTAATGATAAGTTTAAAAGATTTTGATTGTGTTTAATGATAAGTTTAAAAGATTCTAACCGTTTTCTAGATAATATATCATTTCCATTATTACCCTTTTAATTTTAAATTTTTTTTGAATCTTTTTAAATTTTAATTTTAATTTTAAAAATCTTTTAATTTTATTTTTTATCMYAATATGTGGTTAYTGAGTTGTTCTCGCGTTTTCGTAAATCACAGGGGTTCTCGTTTGAACCCCAAAAACAAATTTAAAAATCTACTAAAAACAAGGAATAATACATTAAAATGAAAATGAAACGAAATTAAAATACATTTAATAAAAAGTACGAGACTAAAATACATCAGTTAAGAAGTACCAAAACTATAAAATGAAATGCTTAAACACCAAATAATTTAAAACTATAAAACCTAAACACATATTAAATAAAAAACGACGATGCCTACATTATTCACAAGCATGAAATTAAAACTAAATGTAGTTTATGTAATGTATTTTAAAATTAATGTAATATCTTATTAATGTAATGTATTTTGAAATTAATGAAATGTTTTATTAATTATGTTGTTTTTATAAATTAAGAAAAATAAAAATAAAAATTAATTTATTGATTAATAAATATCATATTATTTTGTGTGTATATATATATATATATATATATATATATAATATCATAATTAAATCCTTACAAATTTAATTATATAAAAAAAAATAGTGGGTCCCATCTTCCTCCCCATGATGCGTGCAATGCCCATTAAACTCTTTCCCATTAAACTCCCCATGACACCATTCACAATGCATGATGCATGTCATGGTTCCCATTAAACTCCCCATGACACCCCATTGGAGATGCTCTAAGGTTGCCCACTTACCTTTGTGTTTACTGTGTTTCGTAATCATATGTGATTAATATGAGATTTGACCGTTTTCTTGTTCTTTTATTTTAACTATGTCTCGTTTGATCCTCCATCTCTTACTTTTTTAAGCATCTCTTACTTTTTTAAGCATCTTCACTTTAGCTTCATCATTAATTTTAAAGATTACGATCCTCAACTCCTTCTCAAGCTTACCTTTTTTTATTATTAACCTGGATATCCAATCTGCTATGCGAACCGACCAATCCTAGGATGACCACCTGCTTTTCAGGTAGCCCGGAGTCACCGCATTTGAACATCCGTGGTCACAAAGGGATTTTTGTTCCTTCTTGGATTTGAACCTGAGACCTCCAGACACTTTTGACTTTTGGAGCCAAACTCAAACCAATCAGGCACCACCCTTGTTACTACACACACATGCACATAAGTGATGTGCCCCTATCGTATGACAGAAGTGATGTCTTTGATATGGGTATGCAGAATGTCATCTGATTCAATTGAAACCGACCAACTCAATTAGAATCGACCAACCATGTGTCATTAACGACAAACTTTCCAAGATATCTTGTGGACGAACTTTAGCAGTGTTTGTCCTGAGATGATTTGTAATTTCTTGATTTTTGAATTTTTTTGATACATTATGTAAATGATGATATTTTCTATCACCTATATTGAAAATACTAGTCCACAAAGTAAGTTGGATTGTTTTTCAATCACCAAAATGGTTTACTTAGGGGCTCTTTACTAGCTGCTAATTAGGCTGACTTGGTCAGTAATATTGACTCAGTCAGCAGTCAGCGTGTTTACCAAAATCAAAATCTGACCACGATGCTGACTGAAAACTTAACGGGTCAGCTCCAAAATGATGCTTACCCCAGTCAATTTCCATGTTTCCAGAGTGTGCCTGGACATTATATATTATACCGCCATAAGTACGTAACATAACGTATAACCAATGAACTAGAATCAAATGTAATGATGATTATGTTTACGATTACGAACACATTTTTCTCTTGTCGAACATATCATATTTCATTCTTGGGTTTATTTACGTACATCAACATCAAACTTTTTTTAACATTTTCAACATATAAATCGATGATAATTTGAATCAGAGGATGATTCATTAATAACCCTTCTTTATTGTGACAAATTTGTCATGTATAATCTTCAATCATTTCGATTGCGATGTTGATGTTGAACGCGTTATTATAAAAATACGATATTTCACAAGTAGAAAACGTGTCAACATAAATTAATAATGAATAAAAGAAAAATAAATCAAATGAAACAAACTCAATATATCTTATATCATTACATGATATAAAAAAAATGGTAAATTGTATGAAAAAGTAACATATTTTAACTTGATTCTTATTTTAGATAACTTACTTTCAAAAATTCCATTTTGCTACATAAGATGTAAAGTTTTAAGCATTTAAGTACCCATATAACCGGTTACCATGCTGATGTGGCGAATGATGTGGTATCCAACTCAGTTTTAAAATACGCATAAAAGCCCTGACCTACAACACAAGAAATAAGAATAAACAAGTGGAGGATCACTTTCTTCAACACATTAATAATATGCATGTCACAATAAAAAATATATCCATCTTCTCCACTGATATGTATACTTTGGTATTAATAAAAAAAAGAACATCTTCTGATATGGTGGTCAAGACCATTATTGATGATATTTGGTTCAGGCTTTTAAGCCTAACCCTTAAACCTTCTTCAAATGTTATATGGGCTCGGCTTGCCTGGAACCTCCCCTAGTGGCTGGTTCCTCTCTTTCTTCTCTCTTTTTTCTTCCTTTCTTTCCCTTTGGGAGCCTTGGTTTCTTTCTGATGGATGTGGTTCGCCCTCACCCGAGTTCGTCATCTGTTTTAGCGTTTTTGGTTTTTTTTTTCTATTGGTAGGAAGGCTCCTTCTATATATAAAAAATTGAAAAAAAAAGAGTCCCCTTTCTTTTACCAACTGATCATTCGGACACACTTGTATGTGAAATGTTTATAACTGTTTTGTTCCACATATAAAACAATCTTGAATACTTTACATATGAAACAACATTGTATAAACACTATATTTTCACACTTTTTAGCTTGTTTCATATATGAAACAACAAATAAAAACTGATTTTATAAATTTGTACGAATTATTGGAATTGTAATAATTACGTGTATGATAAAAATTCATTTTTAACCACAATGGTGGTGTCTGATTGATTTGAGCTTGAGCTCCAAAGGTCAAAAATGTCTGGAGGTCCAGGTTCGAATCCAATGAGGAATAAAAATCCCCTTGTGGCCACGAAGGTTCAAATGCGGTGACATCAAGTTATCCACGAAATACATGATCACCCTAAGATTAGTCGGCTCACATAACAGGTTGGATATCTAGGTTAATAAAAAAAATCCTAACTTTTATTCTTTCTCATCCTTCAATACAACCAAAAGAAGCCTCCTCATTTATAACCCCAACCATCCTAAAGGTTATCAACATCATCATTCCATAACCTTATAAACCAATATCCCTTGTGGCCACGTTGGTTTAAATGCTGCGATTCCATGCTATCTGCAAAGCAGATAGTTGTCTTGGGATTAGTCGGCTCGCATAGCGAGTTGGATATCCAGATTAATCAAAAAAAAATATCAGATAATTGTTTATGGGATTTTCTTGAGTGTTATCTTAAAATCTTATAGGATTAATTAAGTGTGGAATTGGTACGGTACCAAGTTTTTTTTCCCTCCAATATCGTGTACCAACCAATTATAATTGATACACACAATCTTATACCGTATACTAACCAACTGTACTGGGTACTGACTTAATCAGTACCAACTTTTTTCGGTTGGTACTAGTTTTTTTACCAACTTCATGTTACACATTATGAAAACTTGCTATTATGTTCAAATTTTGAGTGACATTCCGAGTTTTCAAGTAACATATCTGATTCGTAAGGGTTTTAATTGCAAGAATAAAATCTGCCAACATTCAAATGTTCAAACAAAATAGTGAAAGTTACAAATTTTAATATTCGATACAAAAAACTAAAAAAGCTAATAAATTATTAAAAAGTCGTAAACCATGATTTAACAACTGTGGTATACGACTTCCAATACCGTGTACCAATCAAGTTTACATATTTGATACGATACTACGTGACAGGTTGTAAAGAAAAAAAGACATCTAGACGTATATGAATGAATGAAATTTGAAAATCATTCAAGAATTAAAACAACTAGACATTTTAAGGGGCGTTTAGTTCGTCGGAATCCCTGGAATCTGATGGAATTGGAATGATCAATTCCGTTGACCAAATTCCATTCCAAACGCCCCTTTAGTTTACCCAACATGACTTAAATATGAAATGAAATTAAGGATCTAAAAGTGATGATCTTGATCAATTAAGAGCTTCAGATCTCCAATATCTTGCCTTCTCAAATCCGTTTTCGAAATTCTCGTAATCTTGAATCGTTTGATCGATCTCTTCTTGGGTGTTCATAACAAACGGTCCCCACTGAACAACCGGTTGACCCAACGGTTCACCTCCAACCAAAATGAACCGTAGTGGCTTGGACGACTTGTTCCACGACTCGAGCCCATCTCCCGGACCCAAAAGTAAAAGATGGTGGGGCGTAGTCGAAGATGCTTTCGAGTTGCCAAACATGCCTTCGCCTTCCAAGACGTACACGAACGCGTTCCAAGATTCGGGTACGGGTTGGTGCACGTGGGCTCCTGGTTCGAGCGTGAAATCAAGAAACATAGTGGGTGTTCTTGTGTATATCGGCGACTTTATCCCCAAACTCTCGCCTGCTATCACTCTCACTCTAACCCCGTCTTCGATACCTTCCGCTATATTTGTGCTCGCCATCTCTTGGTACCTCGGCTCAATCCTGTTCATCATCAAGACCACAAAACAAGAAAGAGAACGTAAAAAACCCGTCTCATATGGATAGAAAAACTAGACCTGTGAGCTCTTTTTAAGCTCAGACGTTATAATTTCAAATCAGATATCAGTAATTTTTAGACGGTATACATTTTGTGGGTAGAAGAGAGGTTAATCCATAATTGCAGCCCTTTTTGAGTGCCATTTGAAGCAGGCATTTCAGAATGTACAATCCCTTTTCCAGCAGTCATCCATTGCAAATCACCAACTCCAATGGTCCCTTTGTGTCCTTCAAAGTCTTCATGTGTTACAGCTCCCTGCAGTTAAAAAAGTATCTGAGTTATGGTTTGATTGGTTTTTCATCAAGTCTTTTATAGATAAAGCTGTTTATATGGATTAATCTGTCTGTGTAGAATGAAAAAGTTTTATCATAGATGGAAGAAGCGTGTTTTTTTTTAATTTGGAGGAGCTGGTTTTGAAAATTTTGGTTCTCTGCATAAAGATCTCACATAAAAGCTTATTGAATAAGCCACTTTCTACAACCGAATAAGCTATAGGTCTCATTCATCTCATTAAGTTGTTGATGAATAGACCCTTAATCACAAAAATAACCATTTTTATAAAGTACCCATCATAAAAAGACCCATTTTTTTCAAAATAAGTACAAAATAACCATCAATTTCGTAAAAAAAAAAACAAGTTTTGAAGTGAAAAGTCCAACAACCAATATATATATATATATATATATATATATATATATGCCCAATTTTAATTGGTGAGAAATATACCTGTAACATGTATGTAACAGTCTCAAACCCTGTTCAAAAGATGAATTCAAGAATCATCAGAAGGATTAACTAATTATTCACATGTGAATAGAATCTGCAAAAGTGCATAAATTAACACAAACCTCTATGTGGGTGATCTGGAAATCCACCAGGGGAAGATACTGCATATTCAAAATGAATAAACCATCAAATCAATCACCAACATTTATCAAAAATCAAACCAAAAGTTGCTTTCTTTTCTTTGTTTTCATTCATGAAATGCCAAGAAAACAGAAACCCACCACAGAATTCATCCAGAACCAGGAAAGGATCAAAGTATTTCAGCTCAAACCTGAAGAAAAACAAGAACTCAGAAACCCTATTCATTTCACTGGAAACCAATGAATACATGTGAATAGAGAGATGAATAAGAGAAAGATTAGTATTCATCACACCTTCCAATGCTTCTTCTAACAACAGCTCCAGCACCTTCATGTTGAGGCCTGGCAAGAAACTTTCGAAGAACAGTACGAGAATGACTGGGCATTATAATTTAATAATTATTAATTAATAATTAATTATTATGTGTGTGAATAAAAATGGAAGTTTGTGATGCTATTTATACACAACCATCAATGGAACTGGAAATTCCCCAATTGGAAGTTGGACCTGGAGATGTGGGTGTTATTTTCCTTCCTACGTCACCCTGACGTCATCGTGATGAAGTTTGACGTATTTTTCATGTCTTCTTAATTTACATTTTTTACCCCTCTACTTTAATCAATTGTAAAAGAAATCTAATTTTGTGATTTATGTTCAACAATAATGATAACGAACATATTTTCTACCTTTTTTTTCTCGGTAAAGGCTTTAGCCGACCGCTTCATTTCTTTGCTTTTTCGGTTGGGTTATTTTGGAACCATTAAAATGTTTAATTATAGAATATTTTTTACGATAAACGTTAATTATGTTATGACTCAATCTCAATCGTCTATTTAATTTGATAAATATGTAATTTATTAAAAAATTTAATTGTTTCTTAATATAAAGTATTAATCGTAATTGGTGAACCTTATTCATTTTTTATAAATATTTAAATCATAATAAATGAACTCTCATCATTTTTATAAATATTTCAATTTATTGGGTTGCATTGGTTGTACAGGTTGCATTTGAAACAAACTATATATATATATATATATATCTCTCTCTCTATATATATATATATAAGAAAAATGTTGGCATTTATTTGACTTTTATGTGTCATTGCAACGTATTCATGACGTCGTTATATAACTGTATGATTTTACTGAAAGTGGACCATGTGATTTTTAGAAAAATTACGTTAGTCGAGAACTTTTATATCTTTTTTAAAGAGATCAGTTCTTGTATTTGTTTCATATATATATATATATATATATATATAGAGAGAGAGAGAGAGAGAGAGAGAGGATCAAATGCAAACCACCGTTATTTGTGTAAATCGTGCAAACCATCCTTGTTCGTCGATTTCCTTGTTTAACTTAATGAATTTGTTTAATGGAATTGTTTAATATAATGAAATTGTTTCGTATAATACTTTTCTTGATGAAGTTGTTTTATATGTGGTTATAAATTATTTCATATAATACTTATGAAATTTTAATGAAATTGTTTTATGTTTTTCTCTAAAATTAATATAATGAAAATAATATTCATGATTAATACTCTCCACAATAAAAATGATTAATCAATCTCTCATAATTAAAAAAAATGAAAAATTATGATTGATTAAATAAAGTTTGTACGGTTTGTATAAATAACGTGGTTTGCAAATTAAACCTACTCTCTCTCTCTCTCTCTCTCTCTCTATATATATATATATATATACACTTGGGATCACATGAAACCACTTTTTTACACTTGAAATTTCATAACAAAACACTATGAAGGTAAAAAAAAAATCCGAACACCTTTACAGTGTTCTGCTGTGAAGTTTCAAATGTAAAAAAATAGTCTCACTGGTCTCAGAAAAACAGAATGGTCTCACGTGATCTCAAGTGTATATATATATATATATATATATATATTATCTCTTCTCCTATCAAGTTTTAGGGAGTTCTTTAAACTTGAAGTTTTTCTCTTTTTTTCTTTTATGTATTTTAGAGAACAATGTAGAGAATCTATTGGAGCAAAATCAAGCAAAAAACCTTTATTTTCAGTATTTTAAAGAATCTATTGAAATGCTCTAAGTAATCAGTTAGCCAAATAAGTTAGCAAAACAAATCAACAATATCTATGTAGAAAATGGTTTACCATGCAACCGTCGAGCCCACGTGCATGTAGCTCATTTGCTCAAATACATAACAGGTTCAAGTTCGAATCCTTCAAGAAACGTATCTGAACCCTTTTGCTAGCCTAACCGCTAAACCGACTCTGAAATGCATTACCGTATGCGCTTCCTAATTAACGGGTTTTGTATGAGGTCGATCGAGAGTTTCGGCATTAAGTGGTGAATTTTGTATACAAGAAGCAAAAACATATGTTTATGATTATAAAAAAGTATGTCATGATGAGGGAGGGATGAGAAAGGAGAAAACAAGAGGGATGATGACGTAGGCATGAGATGAGCATTACCCCAGCTGACGTCACGAAAAAAGTCAAAACCCATATCCTTTTCTAAGCTATGAATTAAAAATAGAAATTGAAAATGTTGGAGTTTTTTTAATGAAATTCATCATCACATTCACAGATATTAATTTAATATATTATTAAATAAATAAAATAAAAAAAGGCATTGGGAAATAGAAGCTTCTTTTTCTTTTTAGTGTCTTATGGGTTACTTTGACTTTTATCTCATTAATGCATAAACTTTGTTTTTAAATAAACTAATAGCAGTGATAACTATCCAAATATTTAGCAATTATATATATATATATATAT